TTCGTCCTCATGATCTTCATGTTGGGTAGGCTGAGGATGAAAAGAAAGAAGGGGAGTGAGTTGGTCTTGTTGTCTTGAGTGGCAGAGGCAGAGAAAAATCTACATGTAAGTGGACCCACATAGTTCAAACCTGTATTGTTCAAGGGTCAACGGTAATTGTTATATCTTCCCGGTGAATTGACCCTTTTATCATCATATAATATTTTAGGGGCATTCTTTATTCCCTTCTCATTTCCTTTTGTTTATGTTTAACATTTTGTTTGTGATTACCATTGCTATTACATAAAACAACCTGAAGTTACAGCAATTTATTTTAAACTGCTAACAACCTAACTTCAACTGCATACAAAAATGTTACTCCTTTATAGTTCCACCCCTTCCCCATTTTTTGTTCTGGATTTCACAAATTGTATCTTTTTATATTATGTGCTAATTTTTTGAGACAAGAGTTTCGCTCTTGTTACCCAGGCTGGAGTGCAATGGCGTGATCTCGGCTCCCCGCAACCTCCGCCTCCTGGGTTCAGGCAATTCTCCTCCCCCAGCCTCCTGAGTTGCTGGGATTACAGGCACGCGCCACCATGCCCAGCTAATTTTTTGTATTTTTAGTAGAGACGGGGTTTCACCATGTTGACCAGCACGGTCTTGATCTCTTGACCTCGTGATGCACCCGCCTCGGCCTCCCACAGTGCTGGGATTACAGGCTTGAGCCACCACGCCCGGCCTATTATGTACTAATTAACATACATTTATAAGACATGTTTTTGTCTTTCGGAATTAAAAGTAGATTTATCCACCAAAATTACAGTAATACAGGATTCTGTTTGTCCACATGTTTACTTTTACTGGAGAACTTTGTACTTTTGTATGGCTTCATCTCACATTATAGGTTCTTTGGTTTCAACTTGAAGGACTCCCTTTAGCATATCTTGTAGGGCAGATCTAGTGATAATGGCTCCCTCACTGTTTATCTGGAAAGGTCTTAATTTTACCTTCATTTCTGTAGGGCAATTCTACCAGATACAGTGTCCTTGGTTGGCAGGTTTTTTTTCTTTCTGCACTTAGAATATATCACCCCACTTCCTTCTGGTCTGTAAAATTTCTGCTGAGAAATTCACTGATAATCTTAAGGCCGTGCCCTTGTAGATGACAAGTTGCTTTTCTCTGGCTGCTTTCAAGATTTTCTCTTTGTATTTGACTTTTGAAAGTTTGATTATAATGTTTCTCAATGTGGATCTCTTTGACTTCATCCTAGTTGGAATTCATTTATCTTCCATAAAATGGAATTTTTATGTCCACTTCTTTCCTCAGATTTGGGAAATTTTCAGCCATTATTTTTTGAAAGAAGCTCTCTGTCCTCTCCTTCTCTCTCTTTTATCATTCTGGGGTTTCCATAATGCATATATTGGTCTACGAACCATAAATCCCTTAGATTTGCTTCACCTTTCTTTATTGTTTTTGTTTGGTTTGGTTTTAGTTCAGTTGTATGTTTCAGGTCCAGAATTTCTATTTCTATTTTAGTTTCTTTATCTTTGCTAATTCTCATTTTGTTCATGCATTGTTTTCCTGATTTAGCTCTGTGTTCCTTTCAGCTCATTGAGCATCTTTAAGGTAGTTACTTTAAATTTTTTGTTAGTCAATTCATAGATCTGCCTTTCCTTATGGTTGGTTTCTGGAACTTTATTTTGTTTCTTGCATTGGTCCACAGTTATTTCTTTGCATCTCTTGTGATTTTTGTTAAGAGTTGACAATTTGAAATACAGCTACCCCTCCCAATCATTATGACTTGCCTCATGCAGGAAAGACCTTCACCAATCATTGTAGAAGTTCTGGGACCTTTCAGACCTTTTATGGGGATGTGTCTTCTTTGAGGTTGTATGTGTGCTTTTATTGTAGCATGTATGAGAGCTTTTGATTGTCTTAATTTCCTGTTTCTTCTCAGGTTTTAGTTGCTGACTCAGTTGTATTCCTCTGCCCTTGATCTCTTCCTCCCTCTGGTGCCTGCCTATAGAACTGCAGCCTCTCCTGCTCTAACCCACCAGGGAACTCACCGCTGTTTCAGTGGCCTCCAACCTGGTGTCCAAAATAGGCCATTGTTCCTGTCAGCACTCAAAGGCAGATGAAACAGCCCTCACACAAGCCAGTATGCTGGGCTCAAGTTCAACTATATTCCTTCTGTCCCAAGCAAGGAGCCAGGATTTGGATGGTATTCTCTGGATCTCCTCGCACTATGCCCAGTTGGGGGAGGGGCTAGAGTGAGAAAAGTGTGAGATATTTTCTTACCTTTCCGGGAACAGTCCCTTCTCTTGTTTGTGCTCTTTTCTGGGTGCTGCAGCAACTTAACTAGTTTCTAAAGTTCTCACAAAGGTAACTGTATGTTGCTAATTCAGTGTCTTCAGGGGAGAGCAAGGGTCTAGAGCTTCCTAGACCATTATCTTGCTGATATCACTTTCTAGATTCTTCATTTGTAAAACTTGGATAATACCACCTATTTCCTTGGTCGTTATAGTTAAATTATGTAATGTATGTAAGGATTTTCATAATATTACCGGCATATAATATATATATTTTTTGAGACAGAGTCTCACTCTGTTGCCCGGGCTGGAGTGCAATGGCACAACCTTGGCTCACCGCAAACTTCACCTGCTGAGTTCAAGTGATTCTCCTGCCTCAACCTCCCTAGTAGCTGGAATTATAGGTGCCCACCAGCATGGCTGGCTAATTTTTTTTTCTGTATTTTTAGTAAAGACGGGTTTCACCACGTTGGCCAGATTGGTCTTGAACTCTACCTCAAATGATCTACCCGCCTCAGCCTCCCAAAGTGCTGGGATTACAAGCATGAGCCATTGTACCTTGCCAATATTCTTAAATGTTAATTCCGTTTTCCCACTTGGAAACAGTTTTATACATTGTATGTTACAATGTAACAAATACAATGATGTAGCCATGTGCGGTGGCTCATGCCTGTAATAACAGAACTTTGGGAAGGCTGAGGCAAGTGGATCACCTGAGGTCAGGAGTCCAAGACCAGCCTGGCCAGCATGATGAAACCCTGTCTCTACTAAAAATACAAAAATTAGCTGAGCATGATGGAACACACCTGTAATCCCAGCTACTCCAGAGGCTGAGGCAGGAGAATAGCTTGTAGTGGAATGTACCTGTAATCCCAGCTACTTGGAAGGCTGAGGCAGGAGAATCGCTAGAACCAAGGAGGCAGAGGTTGCAGTGAGCCGAGATCATGCCACTGCACTCCAGCCTGGTGGCAGAGAAAAACTCTGTCTCAAAAAAAAAAAAAAAAAAAATTAAAATAAGACTCATGACAATAAGTTAAATGTGTTTGTTTATATTGTATTGTAAAGTTTATTTTAAATTACAATTAAAAAAAATTTTTTTTGGAGAGGTGTCTCACTTTGTCACCCTCGTTGGAGTACAGTGGCGTGATCATCATAGCTCACTGCAGCCTCAACCTCCCAGGCTCAAGCAGTCCTCCCACCTCAGCCTCCCTAATAGCTGCCTGTGGGACTACAGGCATGTACCACCATGCCTGGCTAATTTTTTTTTTTTTTAGAGATGGGATCTCACCATGTTGCCCAGGCTGCTCTTAATCTCCTGGGCTCAAGTAATCCTCCTGCCTCAGCCTTCCAAAGAGGTCAGATTACAGGGATGATCCACTGCATCCAACCTAATATTTGTTTTGATATAATATTAATAATTATAGGCCTGACATATTTTGATACAATAGTGCTTTAAAAACTAGACTCCCTAGTTTTGATGACAGAAAATTATTTCTAAGAATAAAACAGTCTTGATGTTGGAAGATGGCTTTAATGGAAAAAGGACATAGTTGTGTACAATATAAAAATCCACCATTTATTTTAGGGAGTGAAAATATTAATATTTAATGATTTAAAATATATGGTTTTACAATTGAGAAGGTTATTTTTAAAAATAACTTACAGAAGTTGTAATGCTATTTTCACTGTGAACTATAGCCAGTCTGTATGCTGACAAATGTTTAAAAACCAGATTTCCAGGACTGGGGGTGAGAGGGAACCTCTGATGGTAGATTTCCCAATTTCCATGATGTAAAAACTTCTACCATGGCTAATTTGAAGCCCCCAACATGATATCATTGAGACTAGAATTGAAAAGAGATGTGTGTAGAACATGATTACATGGGATTTAACTGTATTGATAAAATAGATTGAAAAACTTTCCAGAGCATAGATACTAATAACATAGTAAAATAGGACATGATGAAATTTTAGCATATACCTCCCTTTTAAATATAACTATATTTTTATATAATCGTAAGTTTATGTAATTCAATTTTTAGATCCTGGCTATGTTTTACAAACTTCTGACAAGTTCCTGAAATTTTAACAGTCAGTTCTAACAAGTCTATACAAGTCAACTTCAGCACACTACTGAGCCCATATCTTATATTAGGAATTTGGGTTGCAGTTGACCCCTCCACAAAAAACCCTAGCCTGTCTACACTGAAGTGTCTAGAGGTAGATAGGCTTTTGACATAGCTGAATTTAGGATCTCAAATTATGTCCTTAGTAATTACTCTTTCTATCTCCTGACACAATTCTGCTCTTTTTGGCTTCCTTCTCCAGCAGGCTCATTCCATGAGGCAGTTAGCTCCAAGTAATTTAGATTACCGGCCATTGTATATTCCATCTCAGAACAGCCAGGACTCTTTCTGTTTCAAGTCCATCTCAGTCCCTGAAGTAAGACTGTGACTGGGCCCTGCTTAAATCATATGCCTTCCTCTGAATCAGTGATTATGTCTAGGGGTTTGGGGAAACTCTGACCAGTTTGAATCTCCCACCCAGGGGATGGAAGCAATGGAGGCCCTGATTGACAGCCACACTAGAAGTGGGGAGAGGTACCACCCTAAAAACAAAGTGGTGTTATCAAAAGAAGGGGAAAGTAAAGGAAATCAAAACCAACAGATGTCTCCCGTATTCTATTTATAAGTTCATTTTTATTTTAAGGGTCTGTTAAGGAATGTGGGCATGAAGGGCCAGAAGACCGTCTTCCTCATCACAGACACTCAGATTAAAGAGGAAGCTTTTCTAGAGGACATTGACAGTGTGCTCAATACAGGAGAAGTGCCTAACATTTTTGCAGCAGATGAGAAACAAGAAGTGATGGAGGTAAGTGCTTTTGGGGAAGTGCTGCTCCTAGCACAGAAACTTTATTTCTTGAAACCTCTTATCTGCTCTTGAGGATAAATATGGTTTGTATACATATGATTTTGGTAATTAAAAATTTAAAGTATGTTAGTTTAATATGTCATCATTTGGTGAATTTTAAATTGCTTCTACCATAGTTATAAGGCATAATTTTTATTTTATAATTCCTATCTTCATAATAATGGCAGTTTGTTTCACCTGTTTAATGTTATTTAGCATGCTTTATGAGTGATTAGAAATTTTTAAATCATCTCTTAAGGCTACGTTGAGGTAAGAAAACCTGCTTTTAATGCCACTTTACTAGTCTTTATGGTTTACCACTGGTTAGTACATTTTTCAAAAGTTTTAATAAAACTATCTTATGGTTCTGATACATCTGAAAGTCTTGTTTGTGGTTTGACAAAAAAATACCATTGTGAAGTGTCCACTACTGTCACATACTTTAACGCTCATTTGTAAGATGAAGGTAATGTCATGCTTTCTCATTGCCATAACCACTTTTACCTACAAAATATATCACTTATACCTGGATATTTAATTCTCAACCTACAGCCATAACACTTGGAGTGAAACGGACTCACACCTTCAAGTACTCTGCTTTCTCTTCCATGAAATGGCAGCACCGATAAGAGTTCTTCCCACATGGGGTTGTTGTGAAGTCTGAGAATCAAACAAAATAAATCACTTATGTAGTATTAGGCACTTACACAGTTCTCAGTAAACGGTGCATTACCAGTACATGGTCTGGAGTGTGGAAGGAGAAAAGGGGGGGAAACTCATGTTCTTTGCTTTTATCTAGGATATGTCAGAGATGTAATCAAGGCTGTGAAGTAGTAGTATTCTTCTGATTTATATGAGAAATACACCCTCCGTATGCCCGTCCAAGGAATAGTCACCTTTGGGAAATGGAATTTCCTAAACTTTGCTAGACTTTCCTGCTGCTTTAGCTATTATCTGTCTTTTCTTCCCATCACTTTGCTATTAAACTTTTCCATTGCTTCACTATTTCTGTTTTATATTTACCATTTTATATACATCTATATTTTTTAAACAGGATCATATTCTACATACTGTTGCAAAACTTTTTTTTAGTTATTTTATCTTATCTTCCTGTAGCACAAAATACACTGTGTATGTGTTTTGTTTTTGTGTTTTTTAATTTTTGTTTTGTTTTTACTAGAGATGAAGTCTCACTGCTCTGTCACCCAGGCTGGAGTGCAGTGATGCAATCATAGCTCACTGCAACTTCGAACTCCTGGGCTCAAGTGATTCTCTTACCTCAGCCTCCCAAGTAGCTGGGATTCCAGGCATGAGATACCACTTTATTATTTTTAACAGTTGCATAAAATGCTAGTATGTGGATGTTTTACATTTATAACCAGTTCCTTACTGATACTTCAGGTGTATACATTTTTTTCTCTTAAAAACAATGTTAATTTATATTTCTATACATACACATCTTGGCAAACTTGTATGATTTTCTTTATAAGGTAAATTCTTGGCAGATACTTGTTTTTAAATTACAGAATTTTGGAGTTGGAAGGGGTTTTCTAACTACAAACTATGTCAAAGCCGTTCTATTGATATAAAACCAAAATTTTACAGATATTTATAGGAGCAATAAAACTTCTTCATATTCTAATATCCACTAATCTCATTACCAGCTCATCTATTTTTATGTACAAGGTTTTTATTTTCTGATATTCCCTAGGGTGTTCGCCCAGTAGCTCAAGCTGGCAATAAACATGATGAACTCAGTCCCTTAGCCCTGTTTGCTTTCTTTGTGAATCGCTGCAAAGATAATCTTCATGTCGTGGTGGCCTTTAGCCCCATTGGAGATGCCTTTCGAAATCGGTTGAGACAGTTTCCATCCCTCATCAACTGCTGTACCATTGATTGGTTTCAGGTTTGTAATTTTTCTTGGCTGGAGGGGGAGGCAACTAACTCCTTTGGAATTTTACTGAAGTGATTTATTCTTTGCGAACAAGTCATTTTTTAAAAAACGTATTTTACTGAAATAGTTGAAAAACTTTATTAATATACATTCAGTAAGTGTTTCTTGATCACCTACTGTAATGACAGGCATAATGTTTGGCACCAGAGACTGCCAAGACTGCATGATCCTCACAGGGAGCTTACACTGTTGACTGGAAGACAGAAAAAGCAGTCAGCAATCATGATCATATAAGAGAGCCGCAATGTTGGTGTGCAAAGGGTATACCTATGAAGACAGTGAATTTCTGAATCATGAAGATGAATTAGTTGCATAGAGGGAGGGTGTATTAGGAATCAATAGGAAATTTATATGTAAAGAAATTTATTATGAGGAATTGGCTCATATGATGATGAAGCCTAAAAAGTCCCAAGATCTGCAGTTGGCAGGTGGAAAGCCAGTGATGTAGTTCTAGTCTGGAGGCCAGCAGGCTCAGGAGCCAGGAAGAGCCAATTCAGTCCAAATCTGACATGAGGGGAAAAACAATGTCCCAGCTTGAAGGCAGTCATACAGTCAGAATTTGGGGAAGCATCAGCATTTTTGTTGCGTTGGATTAAACAAAATTGGACAGGCCAGTTGGATGCAGCTCACTGACATTAGGGTGGGCAGTCTGCTTTACCTAGTTTATTGATTTAAATGTTGAACTCATGTAAAAACACCCTCACAGAAACACACAGAATCACGTTTGACCAAATATCTGGGAACCTCATAGCCCAGTCAAGTTGACACATAAAATGAACCGTTATTAGTGGATAGTACGTGGAAAAGGAGAAGGGTGGGGAAAGAATGGCTCGTCTACCCCACTGAAAATTGTTTGGTATAGCTGACTGGCGTTAAGGGCAGCAGCAGTTGATGTCTCTGGTATAAAACCAAATTCCTAGGAAAACCTTGCAAGGTATTGGGATTGGCAAGGTATTCCTAGGAATTTGGTTTTATACCAGAGACATTACAGTGGCATGAACATATTTTTAAATAATCTGCATTTAGGAAAAAAAAACAGCTGGAAACTGTGTAGTGGGTGAATTGGAGTAGGGCAAAACAAGAGACAGGAAAACCAATTGGGGAGCAATTTCAGTCATGCTGGAAGCAAATGATGAAGGCCACTGCCTCACCTAAGGCAGACTGTCACTGCCTGTGTAAAACCATTTGGTATTCATACTTTTCAGAACTGTAGCTCATGGTACCTTCTATTTAATTGTTTTATGCCCAATAGTATGTAAACTATCCATTGACCCTGGATAATATTTTTAAAAAATTAGTTTCTGGTACTAATTTGTTTTATTCTCTTTTGCCTATTTATCAATTGCATTCTGGTTTTGTTTGGGAAATCACCCTCCATGTAGCAATGTATTAGAGGGATTGAATCATGGTTGGTCTCAGTCTCTCTCTCTCTCTCTCTCTCTCTCTCTCTCTTTCTCTTAATCTCTCTCTCTTCCCCGCCACCTCTCTCTCTCTCTTTCTCTCTTTATTTGTTTATTTACTTATTGAGACAGGACCTCTGTCACCAAGGCTGGAGTGCACTGGTGCTATCACTGGTGCTCCACCTCCTGGGCTCAAGCAACCCTCCTACCTCAGCCTTCAGAGTAGCTGGGGCTATAGGTATATGCCACCACACCCAGCTCATTTTTAATTTTATTTTTTATAGAAACAGGGTTTCTCTATTTTGCCCTGGCTTGTCTCGCTTCTCGGCCTCCCAAAGTGCTGGGATTCAGGCATGAGCCATTGTGCTTGGCCCTGAGTCAATATTGGTGCTCTCATTTCTCTTGCTAGTGATTGTTTGATGGCCCATGTATGACCCATTCCTTGCCAGTGGGTCTGGAGGTAAAATCTGCTAGAGAGCTTTGGGGGAAAAAAGTATTTTTACTATACAAGGTGTTACATGGTAGGAAAAGGACCTTTTTTTTGTGATGCCCATGGCTGCAGCAGTCTTCATTTCACTGTAATGGGACAAGGCCAAGGATGAAATCAAATGTACTGAGAAAAGGAACAAAAAGATGGAAAGAACGTGAATATTTGATAATATGATTGAGCTTCTAAATGAAGCAAACCTGGAAATTCCCTGCTTCTGGGTATTACTCTATAAAAATATGCATCCTCTTTTTTTTAAGATACAGTAAGACTGGTTTCTGCCTTTTTAGTCATAAATATTCTAACTGCTACAGATAGTATTAAATATGTATGATTATTAGCAAGATGATTAAAAATGAAGCACCCAGAACACAAAGATAAGTCTCTGTAATGTTTTTTAATGACACATAAGTTATATGACATTTAACCTGGCATTTTATAAAATTTCACTAATCTTCTTTTTTCTTTTCTTCTTTTTTCTTTTCTTCTTTTTTCTTACTTGCCATCCAGTAACACACTAATCTTAATAATGAGTCTTTAAAAACCTTTTAGATTTAAAATATATATTGGTACAATTAGATCACACAAGTATAATAATCTATTAATTTTAAAATGCCATACGCTGGCAGTATGTGCTTAAAACTTTTGACTAATGGAGTACTTGAACCAAAAACATTTGGATTTTACTAGGATGTAGGGTTAGACACCAAAAAAAATTGGTCTTAAAATGTATATTGTCTGTTACGAAGGAAAAAAATTGCAAGCAGCTTATTGAAACTAAATGGAAGGAAACCTGGAAAATACTCCAGTGAGCAAATAAAGATTAATGATATGCCAGGTATTGGTAAGTGAAGAAAACTCAGTATGAAAGACAGAGTAATGAGGGAAGGAATGCTGTTTTATGAAGACTGCTCTTGGAAGGCCTTCTTGGTAAGTCAGTATATGAATTCGGATATGAAGGAAGTGAGAGCGTGAACCATATGGAGGTCTGAGGGAAGAGGTTCTAGTCAGAGGGAAAAGTACATCCAAAGGCCCAGAGGTAGAATCATGCTTGGCATATTCCAGGAAAGCCAGGGGAGGAACCATTTCACTAAGATGGAGAGGACTGGATAGGAAGCAAATCTGTGGGGAAGAAAATTTAAAAATCAGCTTTGGATGTTACAGCAGAAATTGTGATGGTCTGCCAATAACAGAAACCGAAACTAAACATACAGAGTTGTTGTCATTGTTGTTTTTGAGATAGAATCTTGCTCTGTCACCAGGCTGGAGTGCAGTGGCGCTACCTCAGCTCACTGCAATCTGCACCTCCCGGGTTCAAGCGATTCTCCTGCCTCAGTCTCCCGAATAGCTGAGATTACTGGTATGCGCCACCACACCCAGCTAATTTTTGTATTTTTAGTAGAGACAGGGTTTCACCATGTTGGCCAGGTTAGTCTCAATCTCTTGACCTCATGATCTGCCAGCCTGAGCCTCCCAGAGTGCTGGGATTACAGGCTTGAACCACCGCGCCTGGCCACACATAGTGTTTTTTAACTGTCATATGAAAAAAAATCTAAAGGTAAGCAGAGTGGGGCTTTTGTGGCTTGACAAAGTCATGAGGATCCCAAGTTATTTCTGCTTTCCTATCCTTAGCATGCGATTTCCATTCTCAAAGTAACTTAGGGCCGAAGGTGGCTGCTGGAGTGCCATTGTTCACAACTGTGTTCCGAACAACAAGTAGAAGAACAAAAGTAGGCCACAAAAAGGACATCTAAGCTCTGTGTAACTCTCTACAAAGTCTTCCCTGAGGTCCTCACCCAACAACTTCTTATGTGTCATTGACCATTCTGAATTCCAAGGGAGTCTAGGAAATCTAGTCTTTTAGCTGGGTATACTGCTATCTAGAATAAAATTGGAGCCCTAAAGAAGAAGGGGCCAGTAGATATTGGGTGGGTAACTGGCATGATAAATTTGGGTTGTCTGCTAGATATACAATTGGAAGAGTTGGGAAGGCAGTGTAATATATCTTTGATAAATAAAATTTCATTTATTCTTCCTTTATATTATCCTATTTTTATTTTAATGTATAAGAATATTAGGTCTCTCAGAGACCTTAGTCCCCCTAATTCTGCTTTCATTAAAGTTTTAATTTTCTTAACACAAAATTATTCTCCCATAGGAAGTCATGTAACTTATTATGCATTAACTTATGGAGTTGGAGTGGGACTACTATTCATCTTAAATTTCAAGAGTTTTTCTTTTCCTTATTTTTAGCCATGGCCTGAAGATGCTCTTGAACGTGTAGCTGTGAAATTCTTAGAAACACTGGAGCTTACTGAGGTTCAGCGACAAGAGATAGTTCCGATCTGTAAACACTTCCACACCTCCATTATGAATCTTTCAGAAAGGTTAATATTAGTAAATTTTAAAATGACAATGAAGGGATTTGTGAAGCCCATTTCCAAATGAGTTCACGTGTATTTGCTATCTTATCTGCAGTCCCCTTTCCTACTGTACTTACCTGGTTTACATGATATCTTGGGTCTCTTACCAAGTTGGATCCTCCCGGCTTATGAAACATGAAATAGCCAGATTCTTTCTTGCTGCAGTTCATCTTTTATAGACGTATTTGTTGATTTGTATTTTTTCTAAAGATAGGCTGTCACTTGATTTGTGCCTTTTAAATATGTCACCACTAGTTGATATTTTACAGACAAGAAATTAGAACGTGGTAATATATATAGGATTCTAGAGTCTTACAATGTTCAAGTACTCAGTATCTTCTGTATAAAATTTAATCTTTATTCTTAAATGTCTGTTAATGATGTTGAATTTACCTTTTTCGTGAAATCCATAACTTACAGTGAGCTATGTTATCTGCCTCTCTTTTAGGTTCTTGCAAGAGTTAGGACGACATAACTATGTTACTGCTACTTCTTATCTTGAACTCATTGGCTCATTTCGACAGCTTTTGACAAAGAAGCGACAAGCTGTCATGGAAGCAAAACAACGATACGTGAATGGGCTTGACAAATTAGCTTTTGCCGAGTCTCAGGTAAATGTGATGAGCTGCTCAAGAAGGTAATATATACTGAGAAGTGTAAGAAATAATCATACAAGCTATAATTTATTGAGCCTGGCATATCACATATTCTCTTTGTTATGCATTTCACATCTATTCCTTCAGTTATTCTTCATAACAGCTCTGTAAGGTAGACACTTTTATGATCCTCGTTTTACAAATGAGTACAGTAAGTTTTACAGAAGTTCAATAAGTTGGCCAGACCACACAGACTCAAATATCTCATGTTTTATCTTTAATTAATTACCATTTAAGAGAATATAACTCTACGTCACTTTTTATTGTAAAACTGGTTAAATATGAGATTTGTGGTTTTTTGAATGAGTCAAGTGCTAGCAATACTTATTAGTGTTAGTTCAGTATAAGTAATGGAGGTTGGTTGATCTTTTATCATATGTCATGCACATAGTATAACAGGAATAAGCTGAGATGCTGCTTGTTTTTAGCCTACGTTTCTTTCATGGCAACTGCATTCTCCTACTGAAGTCTTTTGTGAAGAAAACTGGCCCACACTTTCATAGTTTTGTTTATTATGCAAAGAACTAGAAGAAAAAGTTAAGATTTTCTGCTCCAATACTTTTTTTTTTTTTTTTTTGAGACGGAGTTTTGCTCTTGTTACCGAGGCTGGAGTGCAATGGCGCGATCTCAGCTCACCGCAACTTCCGTCTCCTGGGCTCAGGCAATTCTCCTGCCTTAGCCTCCTGAGTAGCTGGGATTACAGGCACGTGCCACCATGCCCAGCTAATTTTTTTTGGTATTTTTAGTAGAGACAGGGTTTCACCATGTTGACCAGGATGGTCTCGATCTCTTGACCTCGCGATCCACCCGCCTCTGCCTCCCAAAGTGCTGGGATTACAGGCTTGAGCCACTGCGCCCGGCCTGCTCCAATACTTTTATGGATACATTTAAATTTCTATTTTCTGCATTTGGTTTCAATAGCAATTATAGCAGTGGAAACTTAATCATATTAAACTGTCTCTTTAGGTTGGTGAAATGCAAATGGAGCTTGTTGAATTACAGCCCAAATTGGAAGAAGCTAAAATTGAAAATGCAAATATGATGCAGGTAGAGTATCCTGAATGTTTTTGATGTCAAAGGACGATTGAAATATGTAAAATTGGCCTTGAAAATAAGGGGTTAATTTTTGCCACTAGACTTCATAGACTTTACTCTTTTCTATGGACTGCCTGTCTTACTGGATCCAATGTGGGTTCTGCCTTTTTTAAAGGAATTTGTGAAGACCATTGCTAAATTAGTTGGCATGTATTTGTATTTCTCCTCATTTTATTATAGATCCTTCTATCGTTCATAATGATGTTAGACTCCCCCCTAATTTTCAAATATTCTTTAGTCTAGAATTGAGAAAACAATAGGGTGTTTGAGATGCATTTTTATCTCTCTTTCACTTCTTTAGATTATTGAGATAGAGTCTGTACAAGTGGAAGCGAAAAGACAATTTGTGAAACTGGATGAAGAGGTAGCCAGTGGGAAAGCTGAAGAAGCCCACGCTCTGAAAAACGAGTGTGAAAGTGACCTGGCTGAGGCCATTCCAGCCTTGGAAGCAGCTCTGTCTGCACTGGATACACTTAAGGTAAGTATCTGAATTAGCTGCTTTGTATTTCATCAACCAAGGGAAACTAAATATGGGTATTTGGCTTATTAGATATGGCTCTATTTCAGTGGGTGGTATTATCTTGTTTTTGTACAGTCAAATGAAACTTTTTGCTTAACAGCTTGCCTTTGATATATTGTTGTTTTATATTTTTGCCTTTTTTTTTTTTTTTTTTTTNTTTTTCGGACAGAGTCTCACTTTGTTGACTCGGCTGGAGTGCAATAGTGCAGTCATGGCTCACTGCAGCCTCCTCCATCTCCTGGGCTCAAATGATCCACCTGCATTAGCCTCCTGAGCAGCTAGGACCACAGACACACATCACTATGCCTGGCTAGTCTTTTTAAACTTTTTTTTGTAGAGACAGGGTCACTCTCTGTTGCTCAGGTTGGTCTCAAACTCCTGGGCTCAAGGGATTCTCCCACCTTAGCCTCCCAAAGTGCTGGGTTTATGGGCATAAGCTGCCATGCCTGGCCTATTTTTGCTTTTCATATATTATTTATAATTTTCATTCAGGATATTCTAGTGGGAATGAGATGAACAGACTCCTGGAGGCCAAAGTGGTTCTGTACATGGACCAGCAGGCATATCTTAAGTAGAGTGTGGAGCTAGTCTTCTGCAGCCTCCTGGACCTGCATACAGAGAAAAAACTTAAAGGCCATTTCCAATACAGCTGTGAGTGTCACCTATCTGTACCACATTATGTTGTACATAATTTTTTACAGGTCTTTAGGCAAGACCAGAACAAATGCACCAAGCACAGCAGGAGAGAGAGCATCTGTTGACTAGGGTGTCAACAGTATATTCAGGCCCCATCTCTGCCTTTTTTCCTAATCAATAGTCTAACTTTCTTTCATGTAACAGACCTGACAAGACTGTAAATTCAACCTATGGATAATTCAGCATCTCACAGGATCAAACTCTATCTGATTTTCAGTAACATCAGCCCTTCAGTTATAAGGCAAGAGATTATTTTAGGGCATTTATAGAAATTTCCTAGTGCTCTCAATGCACTATGAATCAGTAATTTAAAACTCTGAGCTTATTATTTTCTTTCTTTATGCTCTCAGGTACTTTTTTTTTTTTTTTTTTTTTTTTTGAGACAGGGTCTCACTCTGTCATCCAGGTTGGAGTGCAGTGATGTGATCATAGCTCACCACAACCTGAAACTTTTGGGCTAAAGTGATCCTCCCCACTCAGCTTCCTGAGTAGCTAGAACTACAGTCACATGCCACCATGGTTGGCTAATTTCTGGCACATTGAAGAGTCATTTATTACCCTGTGATCTTTCTACAGTCTCTCCTTAGAGATTTATTGCAGCAGCTACTTAATTAGACAAAGCCTTGTTTCAAGAGGCACTCTATTCTAGGTGACCGTGAGCATTAATTTAAGTGACTTCTATGTTCCATGAACTTTCAGCACTCCCTCCCCTGATACAGGATTCTTGATGCCTTTAAACTCTCACCAATTAGATTATTAATATTAGGTTCCCCTTTCATTGAGAGTCTGTTGCTTGTACCCTTCCTGGTATCAAATGCTATATTACCTGAGTTAGAGTTCAGTTGCAGAGAAGAGAGTTGACTGTAGTTAGCATAAGCAGACAAGGATTCTTCAGGGAATTTTATAAATGGATTACAGAATTGTTGGAAGAAGTAAAAGAATCAGATCCTAGGCTGAGCTTCCGGGAATAACTCACAAAGCCACAATGCAGAAATGGTCTACCAGAGCAGCTGTCCCTCTGAGTAGGAAGCCTGCAGAGGCTTCCTATGGTGCCACGTAACTTCCACTATAATCTAAATACTGTCACAATGGATGTCTCGCACCCTACCACTCTCCCCATTTATTGTCTGAATTCTAGTATCACTGAAGTGATCTGGAACCTAATTCTAACCCAGAACTCTAGTAGCATGAAAACCTAAGATACATGGTTGTTAACTTTCCAACATTTACATCACTGCAAGAAATGTCAGAAATATATTGGAATGGATAAGTGAATCTTTCTATCTGTCATAACAATATATACCTTTTTAGAAAATAGGTTTGGAATTGGGACCTACATCTTCTTTCATCTTCTTCAATACAACTAATATATATAAGCAAATATAGAATTAGTCTTAGTCTAAATTAGGATTCTTAACCTGGGTTCTACATATGCATGCGGTATGTGATTGTATATGTAAAAAATTATATTTTCTGGTGGGTTTATAGCTGCCATTATATTCTCATAAGCATCTTTGACCGACCCCTCCCAACATTTGAGAATGATTAATCTTAATCTGTGCTGAATTCTCTTTTGCTAATTCTTTCATAACCACATGAAGCCAAAAAAATCCTTAGATTTCAAATAGAAAAGGGTGCTTTTATTATTCCCCAACATTACTTTAAAATTTTTCATTATTTAAAAGTAAACTATTCTGAGGATATCCTGTTTGTTTTTTGTTTGTTTTTAGCCAGCTGACATTACAATTGTGAAATCAATGAAGAATCCTCCATCTGGTGTTAAACTAGTTATGGCTGCTGTTTGTGTCATGAAAGATATAAAACCAGAAAAAATTTCAGATCCTTCAGGGACTGGAGGCAAGGTAATAACTTGACACAGATTGGAGTTATATCCATGAATACACAGAACTTGTCAGCAGCAACTATTATCAAATAGCAACAGTACCCAAATTAGGGAAGAAACACTGTTTTCCAGATATTGTCTGTGTGTGTTCTAGGGTAAAGCTAAGACAATGTAGTGTGAAAAAAACGTGGTTCCAGACCAGTCTGGCCAACATGGTGAAACCCCATCTCTACTAAAAATACAAAAATTAGCCAGGCACAGTGGTGGGCACCTGTCATTCCAGCTATTCAGGAGACTGAGGCAAGAGAATTGCTTGAACCTAGGAGGCGGAGGTTGCAGCGAGCCAAGATTGCGCCACTGCACTCCAGCCTAGGTGACAAAGTGAGACTCCAGCTTAAAAAAAAAATGTGGTTCTAGTTGCTTCCATCTCCTTTTCTGTCTATGCAGAATTCTCCACTACCATGGGCTTAGAACTAAATGAACACCAAGGTACCTGTACTTTTCCAACTAAGATTCTTTCTGGGTATTCAAAAAAATCTGTGAGCTAACCAATATAGTGAAATTGCTAAAAGCATGTGCTCTGGAGTTAGAATGTCTGTATGCAGAAATCACGACCCCACTAGCAGTGTGACCTTGGTCAAGGAATTTAACCTGTGTGGGATTACATTAAAAAGAGGGTACTCAAAATATCTACCTCATAAAGCTAATGTGAGGATTAGATTAGTTAGTATATATGAAGTTCTTAGGTATAAAGTCTCACAAACAGTGCACAATAAAAGTTAGCTGTTATTATTACTATTATTATTCAATGATATATCCCTTAAGGAAGGCATAGTATCCATTCTAAACTGAATTTGCAGACTTATTTCCTTTTCAGGTTTTTGTAATACCCGAGTTTAAATTTCTGAATTAAAGAATTGGAATTTTTGTGGGGCAGGGCATTGAGATAATAAAATAAATCGGCTCTTATTAAGTTATTCTCATTTACAACACACATACACACACACACTCTCTCTCTCTCTCTCTCTCTCACACACACACACACACACACACACACACACACTCTCTCTCTCTCTCTCTCTCTCTCTCTCTCTCCCTCCCTCCCTCCCTCCCTCCTTATCAGACTTCTGGAAGTAGAAAAAAGAACTTTTGTCTGGATATTTAAACTCTTTTGCCAGCATAAGCAGCATGCGCTTTTACTCTGTGGTTGGCAGAGCAATGCGTAATCTTTGGCCTTCTGATTTCTTCTTTAATTTCACTTGGAGAGCCCAGGTAAGTGAGGAGTTTGTCTTTAAGGAAAAGTTTGCTACTTTCTTACTTGAAAGAATCAAAGGATAAAGGAAAATAAATTTTGAAGTAATAAAAAGTTACTTATATGAAATTGTGATGGTGTTTATGCAAGTTGCTTGTTTTCAAAAGAAATAATCACATTTTTCCTTTCAGTGTTTACTTTTTTAAAACAAATTCAATCTATAAATGCATTTCCATTATTTAAAAATATTTTATGTTTAACATGTTCTTGGGGAAAGTAGTCTTAATTTCCAAGAAAATGTAAATTGATATTTTGAAATATGATTCAGCTAGGCATGGTGGCTCACACCTTTAATCCCAGCACTTTGGGAAGCTGAGGCAGGTAGACCACTTGAGGTCAGGAGTTGGAGACCAGCCTGGCCAACATGGTGAAACCCCATATCTACTAAAAATACAATAAGTTAGCCGGGTGTGGTGGCAGACGCCTGTAGTCCCAGCTCCTTGGCAGGCTGAAATAGGAGAATCACTTGAACTCAGGAGACAGTGAGCTGAGACTGTGCCACTGCACCCAGTCTGGGTGACAGAACAAGACTCCATCTCAAAAAAAAAGACAAAAGTATATGATTAGTTTATCTAGGTAATGTCTCTTAAACTTCAAGAAGAAAAATTTTACATCTGACATCTTCAATTTCAAATTTAACAAATTTTCATAAATTTTATTTGTAGATATTAGATTACTGGGCACCAAGCAAAAAACTGCTGGGAGATATGAATTTTTTAAGAGATTTGAAAGAATATGACAAGGACAACATTCCAGTGAGTTGCATTGGGTTTTTTTCTATAAATGTGACTTGGCTAAGGTATATAAGAGCTTTGATATTATGCAATAGTTTACAACACATATAGAAATAGTTCATTTTAGGATTAAGATAATAAATAGATACTACATTTATTAATGATACTATGAATTCCCATAATGTTTAAAGCCATTCCTCTTTCAGATAATTAAAAAATTATTTAATAAGTTACTCTTTTAGTGTATTATTGACTTGAAAGAGTTCTCTAAGTATCTTCTTATAATAGTTTATTTCTTAAAATCTGATGAACAAATTTATTTAAGATTTAAAAAGTATAGCACATTCTTTTCTATCCAAATTATTTGTTAATGTTTAATTGTTCTTTTCCCCTGTTTCCATTTGTTCTTTCATCTTATATCTTTTTTTTTTTTTTGAGATGGAGTCTTGCTCTGTTGCCAGGCTGGAGTGCAGTGGCGTGATCTCTGCTCACCACAGCCTTCCTCTCCAGGGTTCAAGCAACTCCTCTGCCGCAGCCTCCTGAGTAGCTGGAACTACAGGAGTCCGCCAGCACCCCCGGCTAATTTTTTGTATTTGAGTAGAGACAGGGTTTCACCATGGTGGCCACAATGGTCTGGATCTCCTGACCTCATGATCCGCCCACCTCAGCCTCCCAGAGTGCTGGGATTCCAGGCGTGAACCACTGTACCTGGCCTTTTTTTTTTTTTTTTTTTCAGATGAAGTCTCGCTCTGTTGCCCAGGCCGGAGTGCAGCGTCCATCTCTCGGATTCAAGTGATTCTCCTGCCTCAGCCTCTTGAGTAGCTGAGATTACAGGCACCTGCCACTATGCTCAGCTAATTTTTATATTTTTAGTAGAGATGGAGTTTCACCCTGTTGACCAGGCTGGTCTCGAACTTCTGGTCTCAAATGATCCACCAGCATTGGCCTCCCAAAGTGTTGGGATTACAGGCGTGAGCCACAGCACCCGGCCTAAACTTAGAAGTCTTTTGATATTTTTGGAAGAAACATTTTGCTCCGGTATCTGTAATAAATTTGCATATTTTGCTCACAAATGTGACGTATCTCTGCTACAATTAATACTTGTTATCTCAAAATACTTATTTTGGCTTTTAAAACCAACATCATTTTTATACAAATGTTTTTATTGTATATGAGTTTTTTCCATCTGATGATTATGTGATCTATATTGAAATTTTAAAATTTTAATCTTTGTTATATAGGTGACTGTTATGCAGAAGATTCGTAGTGAATACTTAACGAACCCTGAATTTGATCCCCCTAAGGTTGCTAAAGCTTCTTCTGCAGCTGAGGGTCTGTGTAAGTGGATCATGGCAATGGAAGTGTACGACAGAGTTGCAAAGGTATTTTGAAGATTAGCACATCAGTTTTCTACTAAGATATTCTCAGGAATTAAAATCTGTGCCTATATTTACTAGTTAAGAAGTTTTTCAAACTGACCACAGAGAATTTGTCCTGCGGTAGCATATCATCATATACTGATTGCATACCTAGTAGACAAAAATATTACTTGTGCATCACATAACCTGTTTGGGGTGCTGTGGGTGGTGGTGATGAAGGAGCAGGGATGATGAGTAGAATTAATCAGACTTACTACCTTTAGGATGCAGGACAAAGGGGAATTAAGGTTTGATGAGGCAGAAGCAAAGAAAAATCTAAAACATTAAAGGGCAAGTGCCAGATTAAAAAGTTGATTCAAAGGATCAGAAATAGGGGATCCAGTAGAGTTAAGAGGAAGAGCACGGTTAGATCCCTTGAAACAATAACATGCATTGATATAGAACCTTTCATGGAATACCCACTGGGTCCAAATTTCTGGGAGAGCAGAGAATAGTTAGGAGCATTTTGGAAATTTGGCTAGCAAAGGACCAGGGCAACAAAGGCTTTGCCCTCGTAGCTTGCAGAATTCTGCCCAGGGAATAAAGAAATATAAATAACAAGGTAGATGAAAAAGTGGTAGCATGTATTTAAAACAAGCTCAGAAGATAGAATAAATGATCAAGCTGTAATAATGGGGAAGGTCTTCCTAAATGTCCTAAATGATATATGTACATGTACCTATAGAGGGGTAGAGACTTCGTTAGTTTCAAGGGAGCAGACCTGAATAAACCCGTTAAATAAATAAAATTAATTTTATTTAGGATGTTCTTCCATTAAACATCTTTTCCCTTCATATAGTAGTCTGATGGTAGCTCAGCTTATTTCCATGTGTTCCATGGGATGTGTAGAATCTTGTGGAACCTTTTTACAAAGCAGAGAAAACAAGGCACTTAGGCTTTTTCCTGCCTTCCTACTCGACACCTCCACACTGCCATTTTTATCTGATACAAGCTGCCCCATGTTGATACAGAAGCATGGAAGGGAAATACGCCCAATGTCTTCTTTGAAGCCAGAAGTAGAAAAGGGGGCTTCCTGCTTGCTACTTATTTAACATGTTTTCTTTTGTGATTTCAACGCAGAGGACAGAAAGCAGGGCATTTTGTATCTGATATGCTGCTCTCTTTCTCATCCCTCCTTACCTTCAGCTTCATTCATGGCAATTTGCCAGAAGGGTTAGGTCTATCTGCTTTCTAACAGGCACAGACTCTCTCTGGTCATCTTCTACATTCTTTGTACCAAGAGCTTGGAGGATGCTCAGTGATCCAGATGGCTAAACTGCATTCTTGATAGGCTGATGAGCATAACAAAACAACTTGAGGAAATCCCTTTTCTTGCAGTCAGTGTGACTTTTCAGTATTTGTTGAGGAAAATGCACTTTTGGTGAGTGAAACTGAGCATCAGGGTTTTCTTCCTTTATATTTCCACCCTCACAGCTGTAATCCTGGTGAGGCAAATGTAAGCCTCAGTCTGGGAAGAAAATCACAAGCTTGGACAGGGGGAAAAAAAAACCCCAAACATATTCATGTATTTAAACAAACACTTATTATTTCATGTTACATGTTTTTCTCTGTTATTTGACAGCAGTTGAGTGACACTGCTCATTATTTTGAGACATCTTGTGACATTTTTGCTACATATTTTGACATTTTGTTAGCCCAGAATAAATTACCTGTTTTATAGGTGACAATTTGCTAGTCTAGATTTATATTTTATTTTGCATGTAAAAACAGAAGATTTAAGGCAAAATGTTTGTAATTTATTATGCATTTCTAATCCATAATATCTATGAAGGAGGAATTATATAGATGCCAATTTTACATAGTTTACATCATATCTGCATATATTGTTCCCAAAAAGGTAGTGGCTCCTAAGAAAGCTCGCTTATCAGAAGCTCAGAAGTCTTTAGCCGAGACAATGGAGCTTTTGAATCAGAAAAGAGCAGAATTGGCAGAAGTAGAACATCATTTGGAAAATTTACAAATGACATTTCTTGAGAAAACAGAGGAAAAGGCTGCTTTAGAAGACCAGGTGGAACTCTGTGCTAAGAAACTTGAAAGAGCCTCACAATTAATTGGAGGACTGGGTGGAGAAAAATCAAGGTCAGATTTCTATTTGTTTTAACAAGATTTAAGAATGTCAACCTTGAATATGCGACCTTGTTTGGGTATTTATTGTGATTACTGATTTTATAATGGCTGGTTGAGAATGTGGGACATTCTGGAAGATACCTGGCCAGGCTTTTCCAAACAAGGATATCAGTGTTGAGAATGGTGTTTGAAAAGTGCTTTCAATTTTTTTTTTTTTTTTTTTTTTAAAAACAAGGCAAATACTGTAAGGCAAATGGTAACAATGTCTTAAAGTGGTGAGTATGTATTTGTTTGTTGTACAATTCTTTCTAATTTTATGTATGTTCAAAATTTTTTGTAACAAAATGTTTGGAGGGAGTGTTGAATGCCTGATTCAATGGTTAAATTTTATGTTAAAGAAGATATAACTGGCTTGATCTAACAACACCAGTAAGCTTTATTGTAATGTATTTACTTGGGTTTGACAGCCAGCTATTTCATTTATTGTTTGTTGAAAGAATAGCATGATAAGGTAATAATATGTCTTTGACAAGACTTTGCAGTACATATTAGATAGTTTGGGAATACACTTTTATTATTGTATGGGCTTTATTAAATGGAAAAAAATATCAATCTTAGTAATAGCATGTCAGTTTGTTTTTTTTTTTTTTAGACAGGAATCTTGCTCTTGTCTCCCAGGCTGGGGTGCAATGGCATGTTCTCGGCTCACTGCAACCTCTGCCTCCCAGGTGCAAGAGATTCTCCTGCCTCAGTCTCCTGAGCAGCTGGAATTACAGGCACCTGCAACCACCCCTGGCTAATTTTTGTGTTTTTAGTAGAGATGGAGTTTCACCATGTTGGACAGCCTGGTCCTGAACTCCTGACCTTATGATCTGCCCGCCTTGGTCTCCCAAAGTGCTGCGATTACAGGCATGAGCCACCACGCCTGGCCATATGTCAGCTTCTATACAGCTTAAATGTAATTTTTGGTAATGAATTACACATGTTCCTATGTTTTACAGTCTAACAATAAATACTGAAACAAGTAGCACAGCCACTAGACCAAATCATCTAAGAGAAAATTCTTAGGCAAAATGTTGGTGGGTTTTTTTTGTTTTTGTTTTTGCCTTTTCTGAAGGGCCAAGTCCTGTAAGGAATGCTTAATATTCTAATAATGAAAGGAAGATTGTCATTCACATAATATAGATACATGTTATAGCATGTAAGAGCTAGAATGGTTCCAACTTCGTTTTACAGATAAGCAGGTGCCCAACATTTTATAGCTTTTTGTTACAGAATTGGACTGGAAGCCTTTGCCCTTTTGATTACTGTCTCTCATCATTCTCTGCTGTAAATCTGTTTTGCCTTTGGTTGATGGCACAGATGGGCTCAAGCTGCAGATGACCTTCAGATAACATATGAAAATTTAATTGGCGATGTCTTAGTATCAGCAGGAGTAATAGCCTACCTTGGTGCTTTCACTTCTGGCTTTCGACAAACATGTACAAAAGATTGGAGCATGTTGTGCAAGGTAGTGGTTTTATACTTTGTAAATCTTGTTTTAGAACATCCAAAGTACGTTTGGGATATTTTTTGGAAAGGATGATAATGAGGACAGAAAAGAGATCACTGAAAACATGGGGTCTTTCTTTTTTTGCTTCTTGTTTCATCAGTAAAATACTTCCACAGTTCAACTTTTATTTTTTTATTTTCCTTACAGTTATTAAATAATACCTAGTGACAATTAAACTGATATTTTAATTTACAAATATTATAGTTAACAAGATGAAAGATAACAGATTTTTGTTTATTTCTTACAGAAGAAAAAAATCCCATGTTCAGAGGAGTTCTTGTTGAGTAAAACCCTGGGTGATCCCGTAAAAATTAGAGCTTGGAATATTGCTGGATTACCAACAGATACATTTTCCGTAGATAACGGAGTGATCGTTAACAACTCTAGGCGTTGGTAAGAAATAGAAAATATTTGTTTTCTCCATTGTTTTATTTGAAAGTTTTCAAACATATGGAAAAGCTGAAAGAACTTTATCATAAGTACCAATGTAACTATCACCTCTGAGAATCTGCAATTAACATTTTAATATTCTTGCTGCTTTATCATGTACCTATCCTTCCCTCTATTGCTCCATCAACCCATCTTTTAAAATGCATTTCCATGTAAATTGCAGACATGGATATACTTCCTTCCAAATACTTCAGCATGGATATCATCAACTAAAGTTCAATACTTGCTTATGTTTTATTCTTTTGAGGTAAAATTTTACATACATGAAATACATAAAACCTAAATATACCATTCAGTGAGTTCTAACAAAGATATATACTGGTGCAACCCAAATCTCTATCAAGATACAAAACATGATTACCACCAGGAAGTTTCCTTACATTCCATTCCAATAAATCCCCACCCTCCTCCCACCCCAGGAAATCATTGTTCTGATTATTTCCCACCGTAGGTTATTTTTGTATGGATTAGTTCCAGAATTTCATATAAAGGAATCATAATGTACATGTTCTTTTGTATAAGGCTTAGTTATACAAGTTAAGGATTAGTTCTAGAATTTCATATAAGGAGTCATAATGTGTATGTTCTTCTTTTTGGCATATTTTTTTTCTGAGATTTATCCATGTTATTGCATGCATTGGTAATCTGTTCCTGTTTTTTGTTGCTGAGTTCCATTTTATGAATTCTTCTATTGATGGACATTGGGGCAATTTCTAGTTTCTAGCTATACAATGTACATATTTTAGCTAGGTATTGCTACCCGTCTTGAAGATACTGTAACTTGATAATTTATGCAATTTCATGGATACCTTTTTTAGTTGCTATCATGGTTAGTCTGATAACTATAAAAACTTTTCAAATGGCCTTTATTGTTATCCTTTTATTTATATAACTTTGAAAAACCTGGAAAATTACTTTCCTTTGAGAAATAGTTTTCTATAATGGTTATATAGTGGTGCTGTCATCTAATTTTAAAAGTCATTTCATGAGACTGTATCTCAAATATACTATGATGGATACTTCAGAGATCTTAGATTCATCAGGTACTATTCTAAGTGCCCTACGTCTTCACAACATCCTATGAGTTAGGTATTATTATTCTCCCATTTTATAGATGAAGAAACTGAGGCCCAGAATATTTAGTAATTTTAAATTAGTAAAGATAACTTAGCAAATAAATGATAGAGTCAGAATTTGAATCCAGGCAATCTAACTTTCAAACCCCTACTCTTAATTATTATGCTAGAGTGATTTGAGGAATAGGATAGGATATCACACTCATTGCCTTTAAAATCATAATGGAAATTTCAGTCTTTTTTTAGATGAGAGTAATTAAAGATATAAGGAAATCTAACATCCTGAAAGTTTGAGTTATTGTTTGTTTTATATTCTTTGCACATTCTTCTAAAAACTTCAAAACAACTCTCATTTATGTTGATAGTATTGTTTTAATAAAATAAGAATATATATAATCATATATTATGTTTGCACTCAGAACTTTACTTGAGAGCAAACTTAGGTTGAAACTGGTAAGCAATAAGCAAAATTTAATATAATCTGTAAAAGAATATATTTTAGTTTTTAAAAAATGTGCTCTGTGGTAAAGCAGGGATCATTCTGTTTAACAGAATATTGGACCCTTGACTGTTAATTCTGTTTTAGAACCCATGTGTTTGGGCGATCATTCAGATTTTTTAAATTGCAGTTTAGAAAATGTGCTCTGTGGTAGAGCAGGGATCATTCTGTTTAATAGAATATTAGACTCTTGACTCTGTTAATTCTGTTTTAGAACTCATTTCCATGTGTTGGGTGATCATTCCGATTTTTTAAATTGCAGTTTAGACAATGTTATTGTGGGCCAGGCATAGTCGCTCACACCTGTAATCCCAGCACTTTCGGAGGCCAAGGGAGGCGGATCAC